CGGAAAGAGGCGATAGATGATTTCGCGTAAAATTTCCGTAAGACATCGACATCAGTCACAAATAACCTTAGATGTGCCATAATTTAATCTATCATGTCACGGCGCAGTCCATTGGGAGACTAAGAATTTTAGAGAAAAGCCACTTAGATTGTGAGTTATCACGAATTTCTTTTTGGTCGTTATGGTAAACTCACGACGGCCGCTCACACTGTCCATCCGTCCATGGGTTCCGATGCGAATTGTTACTGATGGGCTTCTGAGGTGAGATGATGATGGGCAAGGTGATTATTGGTGGGCAAGAGTTTGCCGTTAAAATATTGTCCTATGGCCCTCCTTTAGAAGATATTATCTGTTCTGTGGAATTTATCTATCCCCATCTTTGACGTTGTTTTAGCTACAACTCGGCAGTGGCGTCGGGAAAAACATGTGCCACACGCTCTCATATTTCCACCCTCTAGCGTTAGATTGGAGTTGTTAATTGTTTAAAAAAAATCAATTCTCGTTCTTGTTGACTTGGAAACTACCGCCATCGCCGCTTCAGTTATCGCTTGTTCTAAGAAGAGTTCTTTTCCGTGCTAACTTCTCAGCATGCTTGTCGAGAATCTGAATGGATGGTTTAGACGATAGTGTGTATTGGAAACACGGATAGTCATACTTGTGCCAAACCCAGGTAGCCTAGAATGACCTGAGATTTTACTAGAATCTCTGAACTTAACCAAAACATATCGGGTACTCTTTCTTCTTCAGAGGAGTGAATCTCATTTAGTTCAGAGTTTTTGTTGAGCGATACATATAGTGTCTATCAGTGCTGCGAAAACTTTAAATCTGTTCCATGAAGACATTTAAGCATTAGGAAAGTGTAAAGTCTCTATAAAGCAAGGGCCTCACTTGTGCAGTGGGTAACTCGGGAGCTCCTAGAAACGGTAATCGCGGGTTTGAATCTGGCCTGCGACCCAAGGTTTGCGAATATCTTAGCATCGTTGTGGTTACTAAAGATTGACCGCGGCCCGAGGTTATTGATCTGCAATACTCAATCAGTCATCACAGATCAAATGGTGTCTGCTAGGAGTCTATGGTGGGGAACGAACGCGCTATTGTCCTTTCCGGGGAGTAACGCGTTCACCACCACACCACGCTGGTCCTCCGTTTCGCCTGTCTCCCACCACAGACACCTACGGTCCAGAGTTTTGCAAATATCTCAGCAACGTTGTGGTTGTATTTCGCTTAGTACCCTGCCATGAAAATTATAGAAGGCAGAAAACAAAACGTTAAACATTCTGCTAGGAGTGTTCGAGCATTCAAGGCCAGATTGAAGAAAACAAGTGTAGGCGTATTTGTAATGATTACACATAACTTTAGTATTTCCGAGCGGTTTACTAGTCGTTCTTCATGCTTTCCAATGACTGTCGTCTTACTAATTACCTTTGTTGGACTTCCCTGTACAATTCTATTTTCGATATAAGCGCGTCACATTTTTGGCACACAAGTAGGACCGGTCCTCTTACGATAATTGTTGCTTCTGTTTTTTCTGTTCCAGAGAGTGCCTTTTCTTCCTTACTGTTCCTCATTTCATTTCACATGCGCATCAAGCGCAATCGAATTATGTTCATCTTGGGAACAACTCTAGAACTATAGAGGATTGTTTCTTTTCGTATATTGGTTGTAACTAGCTCTATCAGCTTTTTTCTCTAAATTGAGAGTGTAACTTCCAATAACAGGCATTTTGCAGATATTACCTCTTAATTTGTGGTTCGAGGTTGAGATACCGCAGTGGTTAGGGATGCTGGAGATTAGGAAGCAAAAGCATTAGTTCGATCCTCGCTTCAGCGCTCTCCTTCAATCCACATGGAGACTTCTTGGCCCGGCTATCTCCAAAATTACAAGAAGAATCACTCGATCAACACTCTACAACATTCATGGAGAAGACGAACCCACACGCAAAATATTCGAAGACCATTGTGGACGGTGAATACGTGGAAACGAATCGAACGGAAGAAATGCTGGAATCCGCACAGTAGATGTGATAACGGTCTGTGTAGAAATCTAAAGTAAAAGAATTGGCGGCCGACCATCTGGTTGATGAAAAACTCGCATTCCTCTCAAACGAACTTCATTGATTATTCATGATGGAGCGCAATACGTAACGAATTCAGCCGCATATAAGAGTTATACTGGTCCCAAAATTTTGTTCCGTTAACATTTTTGATGAAGTAAACATTAGTTGAACTCCAGTGATTTTTCGATGGACTCTCTATGGCATAACGTTCATCTTGTTTATGTATCAGAATTGTTTCCGCTTTACTGGAAGTCAGCTGTATTGAATGACAAGCGGGGATTTTTCGCCCACCAATCTACAATTTTCCGAGGGATTGTTTTTTCGAACCTTTTGTTGTTGTGTTAAATGCCAGCCAACTATGTTTTTAATTGTTCCGGAATATTATCTTCTTTGCAATCGATGCATGTGACTTGACAAGATCTGTTGGACCAGATAAGGGACCAAGAAATTCTTCCTAGGCGAGCCATTTTTGAAAGCGTAATAGAATGTACTGGTAACGTAATACGTCACCTGTGTCATTTTTAGGCTTTTTCAAATAGTTTCCATAATCTGGAAGAAGTATGTAGGACTTTTTTGCCCCTGTCTATCGTGAACTTACATTAACTACGTCAGTTTGATAGCACATGTTTTTTTAAAAATTTTCATTTGATTTTCCATAGTGGATGTTAGAATTTAATGAGTATGGAGTAATGTATTGCACTTACTACAAAAGGACATTTTTTTGGAACAAAGACAGAAATGTAGAAGGACTACTTCTAAATTTTATTCAGTTAATGGTACTCTCATGCTCTTCGAAATTTTGCAAACATATTTTCAGCTTATTTTTCAGGCTTCATTTTTTCGACACACTTCAGTTACTTGTGCATGCGCATATATATGTATATATATATATATATATGTATATATATATATATATGTATACATACATATACGTACATATACATATATACATACACATATACGTATATATGTATATATGTATAAATCTAGCGTGCTGAGTTACGAAATGTTGCTGAAGCTACTTTATACCGTTCTTATACTGTTATCAGTTTCCGTTCATTTCTGCCAGGCGCGATTTCAATTAGTTGGACTTTGCAAGTAGAGACCAGTGCGCGTAAGCCGTTGAGAAAACATCGACATTTTCAAGGTTAATGTTGTTGGTCTATACCGAGGTAAATAGAAAGTTGCTCTTGGGGATTTTAAAGAACCTTTCCTCTAAAAGAACTGAATCCATCACATACCTGTGCTGATATCGGCAAGTTGCCATTAATCCATATTGTATAGACAGGACGATAGTAGTGGTTTTCTTCGCTTCAATGTTAAATCGTTCAGTATTAGAACATATAGAGTTAGCTAAATCAGTTAATCGGGTTAAGTTCTCATGTGATCGTTTTGTCTATTGGTCACCGGCCTAGGTCCAGATAGAATATGGAGATGAAACGAAAATGTTCCATAGCAAACTTGTTTGATATACCGTGAGTTTAACCAACGTTGGTAAACTATGCGCGCAGAGGACACAGTCAAGAGCGACCGAAACGTTGACTTTTACAATCGATTTCGTCAATAACCAAAGCATTCCGTTTTTCATTTCAAGGTTATTCGATTAGGTGTAGCTTTGCAGTCAGAGTTTTTCGAATTCGTGGAAATCCCTCATATCCGTAAAGGAAAGAATTAAGTGTGAGCGGAAAAATTAGTGCTGCTTCCATTCCAGCATTTTTAATTGTTGTCACAATGTTTAGTTGTCCTTCTTTCATACCTGTTGCCAGTTTTCTCTTGTTCCATCACGTGTTTGGCCCGTGTGTACGCTAATAAGAATGCTATGACGTCGTCTATTTTTCCGTCCATTATCCCGACCTAAATTTACTAGTAGGGCTTACATATGTTTCCTAACAGTGATTAGCTCTTTCAGCTCAATTAACTCGTAAGATGGTGTTGATCACTATCAGATGATAGCTTCTAGATCCATCACCTTCAACTTATCCCTACAATCATTATTTTTTGTGAAATTTTGCTTTAAGGAACAGTCAATCCTAGTTTAATATGGATTAGAGGACGTGATATCCTGAAAAATTGCTTTATATTTGCTTACTGGCAATCAATGAGTTCATTTGTTTTAGGTGATGTTAACTAATTACTAAGTAGATGAACTGTGATCCTCCACTGAATGATGAGCGCTTGGTCTAATGAAAAAAATCGGCGTCACTAGCATTGCGTTATCCGCCCCTTATGGCAGGAATAACAAAACACATGATTAGTACAAGACATCCTTAAGCGAAAGATATAGAATATTTCACGAGAAATATTCTCTAAAGCCCGGGCCAGCTGTTGCGTGGTTCTTCACCATAGAGATATTGTCTGGGGAACTCTCCATGAGAATAGGATTGTAACCAGACAAACTTATCTTAAAATAGTTTGAAGTAACCATTTATCATGCGAACTTTTTCGTGTAAAAACTGGTTTGATTTTTTCTGAGTAGTGCTGTTGGTCGGTCGGACAGGATTGATGCATATGTCACGATTTCTTCTCAACTCAACCTTGGTAGAGAACATTTTATTGTGTTCAACGTCCAAGTTGTAACGTGAGTTGTCGTGCTCATCACGATGTCATGATGTTTTTGCTTCTTTGTTTACATTCGTCAGAGAATGTTCTTGCTGGGACAACTGTGTACTGTAACTGCTATGTCACGGAGTTATTCCAGGTTTTTCCCTCTCTTATCCGTTTAGCTTTGTCGTCATTCGTGACGTTTTGCATTTTTCGTCACACATTTCGTCAAGCGAACTCATATCCAGAATCATTTCAGTTCTCCTGTTTTATTGCGTACCTACATTGGTGTCTCGAGGATGAGAAAATGAGCCACATGTTTATGTCTGCTTCTGCGACAACTTGATTGCTCATCTGTAATCCTGTTCATTACTCCATCACTGCTTCATTTATTCAGTAAACTATGGTTTCTCAGTCTAGCCGCAATACTCCGAATGATCTACTCGAACCTCACCCGTCTCATCAATCTCGCAAGAAAACGAAAAAAGCGGCAAATTGGGTTGCACAAGCACGTTCTCGTGCCACTGGTACTATTCGTCGGACACTGTTTGGTCAGAAGTCAAAATCGTCTGGTGTTCGTGATGCTGAGAGTATTATCAACGAAGAAGATGACTATACTCAGACGAACTATGACACAGTGAAATCGCTACCTGCCACTGGTCATTATGGTCGTAGCCGTGTTGGCCAGCATCTCCATGTGGATGTTGAGGGACATTTACGGACGACACATCTTCCATTTCCAGCTGTCCCACCACCAATGATAATGCTGAAGGTACCGAAAAGGCGTCATAGCGCACAACCGAGTCGGATCTCACCGATTACTAGGTCACAACTCTACGATCACCCGGTGTTTGATTTCCAGACGTGGCACTCGGTACTACATGAATGTAAGTACTGTATATACATTCATTTACAGGCGGCTTTATTCAACTCGTTTGACTCGATGACTATTGGCTCGACTGTAGCTGATATTAACACAATATTTTTTGGTAGGATTCCGCAGAATGACTTATAGGAAGAAGTTTTTATTTCCCTTGAATAGTCTTCCATATTTATTTCCCTTTCACTGATTGCTTTCAGATCGTCAGGATGCGGTTTATTCGTTGTTTATGAAAGCGCATAAATGCTACGATCTTATACCGACATCAACAAAATTGGTCGTCTTCGATACCCAATTGCCGGTTGGCTTCTAGATTCCGTTATACCTTTTTAGTTCCTTTTCAGTGGAGATGTTGTTTGGGTTTTCTTAGCTTTTTGTAAATCAATTTATTTTTAGTTAAGAAAGGCATTTTTTGCTCTTGTATATAACGGAGTTCGCGCCGCTCCTCTATGGAACAGCGAAAAGCAACAATTTGTTGGGATGCTTACTATCACTGATTTTATTAGAATCCTAATGAAGTGAGTTTCTTTATCTGGTTAATTCATATACTACAAAGATTTTTTCGCGGCAAAGTATTATGTGTGACACAACTACAATGATGCTAAGATATTTGCAAAACTCGGGACCGCAGGTGTCTGCGGTGTGGAACGAATGCGCTATTACCCTTTCCGGAGACTAACCCGTTCACTACAACAGCATCCTGGTCGTTCGTTTCGTCTTCTCTCAGCTAGTTTTCTATCGAGCAGCATTTTCGACCGTTGTCGACCGGACCTGCAGTCCGGAATTTTGCAAATATCTCAACATCATTGTGGCTGTCCATATTGTAGCAGAGAAATCAAGAAATTCAAGCAGGAAAGTTGTCTTGATTTAGGAACAAGTTCTTGGAGAGTGCAAAGTAGAAAGTATCAAATCTGTTTTGAGAGAGTGTCTTTTATGAGGTCTAACATGAAGAACACCTAAGTTCCCTTTTCAGACGTTATGAAGCTGGTGATAAACAAGAGAAAATGCATGCTCTCGAGGAGGAGAAGATTTGTCATTGGCGAGAACAATTTGAAGCCGAGGGTGTTCGACCACTTGTGACGATTGATCCAAAAGACAGGTCAGCATTATCACATATGGTCAAGTTTTCTCAAAGCTCTGCACTATGGAAATATTCATGAGTCAAGTTTTCCAATATTTCATCTAGTTACTACTGCTCAAACGATGGAGATTTACGCTGTTCTAACATTCCAAAATAAAACAGCGTTTTAGTAGTGTCTAACTACATAGAGAACTCATTTGGCCAAGATGCTTTTCCCATTCAATCTCTTTGAAATCCTTTGCTACCTTTATTTCCTTGTAGTAGTTTAGTACTAACAGTTCTCAACCGCACTGTCAATGGTTCTTTAAACTTCCTGCGTTACAGGTCCTCACTTTCTCAGGCTAACATTTCTTTTGTTGAGGCTCCCACTTAGCAACCAAGTATTGCTTGTACACGATTATTTCGCTTGTTTCATTGACTCTTGTCTAACACAATTTTTCTGTTTTTTACTTGCATACATCTTATTTCATTCCTTTTCCATTACCTCACTGTCCTCTCCTGGTGTCGTATCGCCGTAGGTGGTGTAGAGGGCGTAAACTATACATATATATATATATATATATATATGTATATATACACATGCAAATATATATACATACATATGTATGTGTATATATACATATGTATGTACATATATATGTATATATACATATATATGCATGTATATATATATATATATGAAGCTGTGATGTTTCCAAATACAGTGCTATCAGCAATCGGTCGGTTTTCGAAATCGTCAAGGGAAAGGTCATGTAGTATTTGCTTAACTATAGTGACACAGAGACAACCTTAAACGGAATATGCATACATTGTTCGTGATAATTTAGCCTGTATCGAGCAGTGCAAGTGTTGTGCGAATCGAAGGTTCATCGACTACCTGTTATGGACAAGAATACAGGAAATATCAGTTACATAATCACGCACAAAAGGCTTATCAAGTTTCTGTCGCTATATGTAAGTTATGTTGCAGTATATCTATGTATATTCTTACGAATGTTGAGCTGATGAACTGATGAAAGGTTGGTGTAAATTGTCGTCCTTGTTGTTGTTGTTGTTGTTGTTGTTGTTCGATGGCTAATATTTCGGCAATTTCGCCTTCTTCAGAACCTGGACGTACTTTGTGTGACAATAGCATTATAATGTTAAGGTTCAGTATGTTGTGTGACAAAAGCTGTTCGATTGCGGCTTTCCTAAGGTGTTCTTTGAAAGACACTCACTGTAAAAAACTGTAGTTGATTGATTTTAGTCCAGAAGTGCATAGATTCTCGGTGTAAACCTACTTTCTGAATTTTGATGTATTCAGCACCGATATTCTTCATTTCAGCTTCACGATCTACCACGGCCACCGTTTATGGATAGCTCACCCAAAGAGTTAGGCATCGGCTCTTGGGGCGACATCGTCACAGTTCACGTCGATACGCCGCTTTATGACGCTTTGGAAATATTTTTACGGAATAGAGTATCAGCATTGCCGTTAGTTGATGAAAATGGAAGGGTGAGTTTTTCGTTAACCATAGGTAAACGATGTATGATGTGTTTTGGCTAACATTTTTGAGAGCAGTGGAGAAAATTTAAGTGGTGGAGCATGACAGATCTGAGTGAGAACGCGCTCTGAAAAAGTTTTGTAGTCGAAATGCTTTGAAAATCTATCCATGCTTTATGTAGGTTGTTGATATATACGCGAAGTTTGATGTTATCAGTTTGGCAGCCGAGAAGTCTTATGACAGGTTGGACTGTACGGTACAGGAAGCACTCAGACAGCGTTCCGAGGTGTGTGATGTTGGCCATTTTCTGTATGTGGCTTTTGTGGTCAGTGATTTTCAATCCAATTTCGACCTATACGAGTTAAAAACGACATGCTTCTAGTGGTTCGAGGGCGTGCAGTGTTGTCTTGAGACGGATTCGTTGTTTGTCGTGCTCGAGATCATAGTACGAGCAGAAGTTCATCGCCTTGTAGTGACTGATGCCGATAAGAAGGTACATTGGTGGAAATGTTTACTAAAAAGCATAGGATTTTTTAGCCGAGCTTGAGATGTCTGAGTGTTTTAAGAATACTTACTATAGTGCAAAATTAGGGATTTTGTGCAAAATTAGGGATTTTAGGTTGACGTTTGATCCAGTAGAGCTCACTTGATATACAAAATCCAGTCTTGAATTCAAATTTCTTCTTAAGTAGGAGACTGAGGAGGGATGTTTATCCCTATCTCTGTCAGTATGGAAAAAAGTTTATCTTAGCCAAGCATTCTTACCACAATAACTTGTCAGTCTTCAATCCTAACAGTTTTATGCTATGGGGTACCAAAAGTTAACAACAAAATGACGACAAAGATTTTGAAAGTCTTTTTAGAGTACGAGTCTAAATCTACAGGTTGAGCAAGTTAGATTGTAGATTTTTGCTGTTTTGTTGTTTTTCGCTCCACCATATTTAATTATTGGCTTCTCCACTTCTAGTTATATGTTAGACTAGTTTTGCAATATTGCATACATATCTATTTGGAATATGACTCATTATGTTTACTGGTCTATGAAATCGGACTACAATGTAATCATCATCGTTATAATATCGCATTAATCGCGAACGCCTTGGAAACTTTTGGGTCCTTGAATTCGTTTATTTGGGAAGGAGTGAGGTTCTTTATCTTGTTTCCAACTTGATATTTGTCATTAAAGCTTCTCTCTTAGTATGTGTTTGTTGAGAGAGTGGAAATTGCTGTAATCAGTAGGTGTAATGTCTCGAGAGGACGTTGGGTTCGGAAGAGATTGCCATCGATGTTTGTTCTGTGAAATGTTACCGAGGTGAACATAGTCGCCTTTCTGACGTTACCGTTGTGTGGCATGAACTAGCCTATCGTTTTCGCCTGGGTAGAGTTACGATCACTGTGGTATTCATTGCAAAAGCTCAGATTCAGAACATTCTTTAATAGTACTAACATTAACTTAGGAGAAGTAACCCACTGGAGTTTATGGTTTGATTCACATGGCACATCACACTTTGAATCCATTTACCATGTACGCTGAAAACAGTTTCCCTTTTCCTTTTTGTTGGCTGAAAGAGCAGAGAAGAAGAGATACGGAAACCGACACGTATTGTCTTATTGATGCCAGTCGGAAAGTGCGGCATTCAGTTCAGGAGAATTATAACCATTGATAACCGTCCTTGCATATGTGGGAAATTACACTTGACAGGCTATAACCTCTGTGTATGGCAACGCCCACAATGCTAGAAATATAGTTTGAATAGTGTCAGAGTTGCTGGCTCGAATTTACTGCTCGCCTTTGTATGAATATGCCACGTTGGACTTTTTGTATGTTGTCACAGAACACAGTCTCAGGCTTGTCTTATAATCATTCATAACAAAAATAGCGTTACAATATTAATGATATGACGATGTACAGGTAGGTGGGGATACAAGCGCCAAGGTGAAGATAGAGACTGGACGAGCCTTCCAGTTAACTTATGAAGCTGGTTATATTCTTTCTATAATGGGTGGGGTTCATCTAGAGTAGGTAAAGAGATAATTTCTGAAGAGATGGTGGTGGAGCTTTCCTGAGGGAGTGCAGTTTGATAAAGCATAGTACGGTAACCGTGAATACTTACCTCAGATTAACGCCATATCAGAAGTCCTCAGAGAAGGTTTATCAAATCTTCATGAGAGAGTTTTACAGAGAACTCTACCCTTAGAAGAAGGCTAAACGACACGAGGGAAGTGCATGTGTAGATAGAGAATACTCTATATTTATGGAGAATATTCTCTATACTCCTCTCTCCCAGCGCCTTGAAATAGAGAGGGAGTGTTGGTGTTGATGATGCTTATATGAGTCGCTATACCGTTTGTGTGAAACGACTGAGGCTGCATGTGACGTTGTAGGTCCTCTGATCTGGACTCATTGTCGAGTTTTTGACATTCTGTGGCTCTTATTGGAATACTTTTTAATGTGCTGTGATTGTCTTTAGCAGTCAGCTAAGAATAGAATAAGATGCGCGCAGTAGATTATAGTAGAGTTGATTAGATGGAGTTGAATATAACAGCTGTTAGTGGAAATTAGGACTTCGAGTCAGTCCTCGGTACCTTATGATCACTAACTTTGAATAGGATGCTCGACTTCGTAGAAGCTGCCACGCGGGCGACCCGGGTTCGATTCCCGGCCAATGCACCATAAATATAGCAGCTGTTAGTGGAAATTAGGACTTCGAGTCAGTCCTCGGCACCTTATGATCACTAACTTTGAGTAGGATGCTCGACTTCGTAGAAGTTGCCACGCGGGACTTTTTCGTACTTGTCGCAGAGCAATATCTCAAACTTGAGTAATTAAGCCGTTTATAACAATAATAATTCAAGAATAACGGAATATAAACATTGGTACAATACAGACGGCAATATTGTATCATGATCAATAAATGAGGGTAATGCTGATTAGCATCTTTGCTATAGGTACAGAGCTACATGACAGCAATGTTAATATACAACAGTTACCACATACAACAAGAGAGAATACCTTGGATTGACTACAAGGCGCATTACAGATGATGAACAGAGGGGGCGAATACGGTATTGACGCACAGGGTTCTTTAAATATCTTCTGTAGGAGGCGGTGCTTTGGCACAGGTCCAGAACCTTTACCGAAAATACCCATCAGCTTGCGTCTCCAGTTTCCCTGTGATCAGATGACTGAGGACGGTTTGCCGGACAGCTTCAAGCCCTTTGTGTTACCGTACCCGTGATGGTTTGGAACAGATGCAACACATGAAAGGTTCCGATTGTATAAAAAGAGTGTGGTTCACATAGGATGTTTACGACAACCAAAGTTTCTCTCAACGAAGTGAAAATGTTTACATGTTGCAAGATCGCAAAGTGATGCTATAGGCCACGAATATGGTTGCCACAGATCTACGATATGATGAATGAATAGTAACTATTCTGGCAATAGTTACTATATTGAATAGGAATAATGTGAACGATTGTTTGGGAGTCGCATATGCTGTGAGTATCGGAATACTGTATTTGTATGGTATTCAGGATTGAATAGTGTGCAGTAGAATATGTACAGAATTACGTAGCAACTGATCATAATGCAGTGGAATGCGGTGACTGATGCTATTATGGTACCAGTTGCCCACAATTTCATATTGAAAATGGGCGTTAAACACAGAACAGTCAAGATGACCATAGATCGGTTATGGTAGACAAGTGGTTTTAATTATTTCAATCAAATTATTGTCAGCTAGTTTCTACGAATGAGATATTCATGAGGTATATCTATTTTGCTAGATTATGGTGTTTCCAAGATTTTACAGTAATCGTCTGCACCTGCCGCATGAGCGATATGATAAGGTGAAATGAGGTGGAGTATTGCGTTATATTTTATATGTGGAAAGTTCGAACGTTGGTTCGAATCCATATGCTGAGCATCCTCCCAGAATAGCTTACAGAGAGAGAATGGTGACAACCAATGAAACGTGTTGAGTCGTTATTAGTGAAAGGGGCCTCTGATTACTGTAATTTATTCTTTGCTGGCATTGGAGACTATCTTTATGACTCGTATATAATGCTGAGATATTTGCAAAACTCCGGACCGCAGGTGTATGCGGTGAGGAACGAACGCGCGCTATTGTCCCTACCGGGGAGTAGCGCACTTAACCACCACACCATCCGGGTCCTTCGTTTTGCCTGTCTCTCAGCTAGTTCTATTGATCTTTTGCCATCAGCAATCACCCGTCAACGGGATTGATCTGGGGAGCCCAAAACGGCATTGAACCCAATCGGCATGGGTTTCGTTTCTTCGTTCCCCACCGCATACACCTGCGGTCCGGAGTTTTGCAAATATCTCAGCATTACACTAGTTATATTTCGCAACATACCCTGCCATTAAAAAGAAAAAGGCAGTAAATAAAAGGGTTAAGACTATCTTTATGGTTACTCACGGGTGGTGGTCCAGTTATAGAATGCTTGCCTGCGGTATGGGTTCGATTCCCGGCCGGTGCACAAGTAAATGTGGCGGGCACTCGCAGTGCTAGAAATAAAGTTTGAATAGTTGGTTGTCAGAATTGTTAGCTAGAATTGACTGCTCGCCTTTGTACGAATATTCCGCGCGGAACTTTTATATGTTGGCCCAGAACACAGTTTCAGGCTTGTGTTATAACCATTTATAGCAAAAATTGCGGTACGATATTAACGATACAACGATGTACAGAAGAATGAGGAATACAAGCGCCAAGATGAAGATGGGAACTATACGAGCCTTCCAGTGAACTGACGAAGCTGCTTATATTCGTTCTAAAATGGGTGGAGTTTGCTAGAGTCGGTCAAGAGAGTTTTTGACGAGGAGGGGGTAGAACTTTTATCAGGCAGTACAATCTGGTAAGGCTAATTCAAAGCAGAATACTGTAGCCGAGAATTCTTACATCAGGTAAACGGCATACCAGAACTTTTCAGAGAAGGTTTATCAGATCGTCATGGGAAGGTTAACTTTGTCTGTAGAAGACGACAAAGCGGTGCGAGGCAAGTGTATGCATAGATGGAAGATATACATTGTTTATGGCGAATATTCTGTATACTGTGTTCGTTGATATTTGTCAAGGTTGATTGCGGCTTGTGACGTCATCATTAAAGCTTGGTTCACGTCTTCATAACTTTTTACTTTGTAGCTAGTTATCTCTTGTTTGAAATCTCTTTAAAACCTTAACCTTTTTATTTACTGCCTATTCTTTTTAATGGCAGGGTACGTTGCGAAATATAACTCGTGTAATGCTGAGATATTTGCAAAACTCCGGACCGCAGGTGTTTGCGGTGGGGAACGAACGCGCTATTGTCCTTACCGGGGAGTAGCGCGTTCACCACCACAACATGCGTGTCCTTCGTTTCGCCTGTCTCTCAGCTAGTTCTATCGACCTTTTGCCATCAGCAGTCACCCTCTTTAAAATTCTCGAGCCTTCTGGTGAACAATAGAAGCACTAAGTGCGTTATAGACGTATTTGGATACGTATGCTAACTCTAGAAATCTATTAGTTTTGTGACATTTTTCAGAAACAA